TGGAGCCATGTAGGAGTGGTGGAGTTGGGCACGGGGCAAGGAGCCCTAGCATCTGCCAGGGAAGCCCGGAGAAGATGACCAGGGAAGGCAGGAGGGTGGGGAGCCGAAGTTGGCTGGAGGGGCACGGCGGGGAGAGGAAGGTCATCCCCACAATCCCAGGCAAAGACCAGGCTGTGCTGGAACATTCAGGTACCCTGGTGGGGCAAGGCAGTGAGCGATGGAAAGACCCTGCGGGCAGATGGGTGAAGAGGGAGGAGCAGGCAGCGACTATCCCAGACCCCACAGGAAAGAGGCAACTCCCACCAGGTGGTGGGAACAGGAGTGATTAACTCCTGGCCTGCTGGTCCCTGGCAAAAGTAACCGGAGGGACAGGCAAAGATTCGTCCTCTCATCCCAAGGAAGCAGGGGGTTCCAGGGAAGCTGGAGTCCCCAGTACTTCATTGGCAGATGCTGAACGTCTTTTCCTTGAGTGAAGAATCTTCTAAGTTATCATTTCTCCGGGCTGGGGTGTGTTTAGTTATCTGCGGGTTGGTCCAAAGGTAAAGGATCAACTCAGGAGTGACTGACAGCTGAATATACCCAACCCCACTCAGGCGGGCCTCGCAAGTGAGAAGAGATCATCCTAGGGAAGATTACAGGGAGCAGAGCCCTCCCAGGCCGTGGATGTGGTAAGGGTGGGGTAAAGGGGAGGTCTGGAGCCCCACGAAGGAAGACCAAGGCCACAACCTCTCTGGAACCACTGACAGGGAAATGCCTCCCCATCTATCAACATCAAAAGTCATGGCAGTCGAGTAGGGGCAGTGCCCAGAACCATCTAGGTGGCCCCAGGGTGCAGTCTCACCCTGACATTGCTAGGAAGGGAAGTGCCAACCAGAAAAGGGCCAAAGCCTTACAACACCTACCAGTGACACTCACCTTAAAGGTGATCAGAAGACAACATCTTAAGGTTGGTGTAAGGCAGGGTGTAGGGGAGGCAAAGCCCCGAATTGGATCACCAGACAAGCCCGGTTGCAGAAGACCCCAGGGAAGGTGACATCATACTCCCAAGAATAACATTTTTTTCATCAAAGATGTGGCAGGAGACAACCCCCCTGATGGCCCTCCGAGGCAAGGAGGTTAACATCAAAGTGTCTGGATTCCAACAAAATGGTGAAACCTGAGAGGTCTCCAAGATTTAAGCATGCGAGTGAATGCCACAGGAACCTACACACCCGCTGGGCTGCAAAGGCCCCAGAGGGAAGGCAGTGGGGTGGGGAGCCCAAGCCCACACCGGGCAGCCTGCACCCACCGCATGTATAGATCTGAGGGGCATGTGCCCCTCTGCCCCCTC